TCGAATCGCAAGCTAATGAATGAGAATCGAATTGTGAAAATTGTATCAAAACCCAGCCCTAGTAAATTGTAGTAACATTTCACAATATTACAGTGTTTTACTGTATTTTGGATCAAATAAATGCAGCCTTGGTAAGCAGACGAGACTTTAAAAATTCCAAAACATCTGAATTATTCCAAACTTTCAGTCTAGTTTCTGTTCCTCTGAAGTCATATGATAGTGTTTGTGAGGAACCGACTCGTCAAGACACTGAGGATCCACGCCGTGAGGCTGAGTAAATGACAGAGCGAACTCTTCAGCACACATTGTTGATGAACGGGACAGGCTCTTATGTAGCCGTGGGTCTGAAACACGCGTTCTGGAGCGCAGCTGTTTCCTCTTCCTGTTCTGTGAAGAGCAGAACACAGTGGTGTGTTTCCTCAGCGCCTGATCCACACAGATGTGTTTGTATCAGAAAGCTCTGCCTCGGGCCTCAGAGACACAGCAATGCGTTACGAGGTCAAGGCCGGATAATTAGCGGAGCGGCGACCCAACAAAGACACGACAAACCCCGAATCAACAGCAGAGAGAGCAGACGAGCAGCAGCAGTCAAGTTTATGAGCAAACAGAGCTGTACGATTAATCCAAATCAAACCGAAGTCACGATATGCGATTATCAAATCGAAAAAACAATTCACAAATTTGTAATGAGAAACTTTCATCAAAAAAAGAGAAACTGTAAGGCTTCCAGCAGTTTTCCATCAAAGTAAAAGAAATGAAGACTGACATAAATATTAGTATTGTAATTTTACAGTTGTAACATACAATAAAATTACTATTACTGTATTATTTTTCTTAAATATTGATTTTTTTTTCATTTTACAGTGAAAAGTTTCAGTAGCAGTATTTCTTATTTTGTTTTCATTTAGTAATTTTTATAGTTTAGTAATAATAATAACGATTATCATTATAACAATTACTGCCATACTGATATTTAATCACAACATTTTGGCCAAATCTGCAGCCATACAAACAAGCAAAGCAGACGTGTAATTTTTTTAAGTCACATTTTAAGTTGCAATCATAATTTTAATCAGAAAAACAAATAATTGGATTTTTTCCCCCAAATCATGCAGCCCTGTGATCAAATAATGTGAAATATAATTGTTAAAGGTATAATTCACTCAGAAAATGAAAATTCTGTCATCATTCACTGATCTTCATGTCATTAAAAATACATAAGACTTTTCCTCGTCTTCAAAACACAAATTACGATATTTTTAATGAAACCTAAGTGGTTGAAAATCATTGAAAGAAAGCTTCAACTGGGGCAAACGCTTAAAAAAGTTCATTAAGTCATTTATTTAGACTTTTAGGAATGAGGAATATGTCAAAGTCATTTCTATGTGCCAAACTTCCTGCTGCCAGCTGGTGGCACTATGACAATAACTGAATATTGTCCTTTAGATGTGTTCAGGACAGGACTCTTATCAAACGTGTGAAGTTTGGGGCAGATTGGACATTGTTTGCCTGAGTTACAGCAACTTTCTGTTTCGTGGCGAAACATCGAATTTTGTCAGGCCGCCACGGACACGCCCTTTGACGAAAACTCAAGATCTTCGCAATTTAACATCGCAAAGGCCTTATGATTACACACACCAAATTTGAAGATGATCCGATCACAACTGTAGGAGGAGTTCGTTAAAATACGAGGCCTGAAAATGGCAAAAACGGCACAAAACTCGTAGAGGAAATTCGAAACGGCTGACTTCCTGTTGCGTTTAGGACTTCGCTCCAAGAGACTTTTTTGTAGGTGTTGGGACGTTACATGCATGTACTGAATTTCATACACGTACGTGAAATGTAGTGTGAGGGGCGCTTCGTTGAAATGTTATAGGTGGCGCTATCGAGCCACGCCCAATTCCGAAACCCATATCAGATGTACATTTTCGCCAGTTTTGATGCGCGTGCAGAGTTTCGTGAATTTGCATGTTTAGGCCCTCAAAAATGCGATTCACTTTGGAGAAGAAGAAAAAACAGCAATTCCAAGAGGGTCCTCGCACCTATTTTTTACTATCTACTAAAAGCACTGAGGAACTGCAGCAGTTTTCCAGTGAAACGAAGTGAGGGAGCAGAAACATGTTTTTCTGTGATGCATCTTCAGCTGATCTGTGTCTGCATGTAGTTCTTCTTTTAAAAAAATCCAAAGAATCTCAAAGCATCGGCTGTTGTACAGTGTGTGGTCTGTGTGTCACTGATGCGTCGAGACACTCATCAGCACTGGAGAGGAAGAAGCTCGGGTTCCCGTAAACACGCAGCGGGGGGCGTCTGTGATGAGAGCGTGTGCTTCTCACTAACTGCTCTCGCTTATCCTGACAGATACGGGTGAAGATCTCACAGACGCCCGCATTTAAAGAAAGAGACGCAACACCAGACCAAAAACTTACTCAAATCAAAAGAAAGAAATAACAAAATGACATGTTTCATAATTCCTGTGATGCCCTATTACTGTAAAAAAAAAAAAAAAAAAAAAAAAAATAT